TTCCCTCAGTTGAGAATTGCTGCTTTGAAGGATAAGATGTTATTTAAATGTATTTTTTATAATGCAATATTTAATAAGTACTTTCTGCTAACTAGCTGGATCAACTCAGAGAATTTAAGGTATTTGTTAAAGGCTAATGCCTCTATTTGACTTATAGCACTTAGAAGGAAATTATGATTTACTACACCTATAATACAAACAGTTCATACAATGTATGATACATATAGTTTAATGTGAATAATATTTGGTGTATCCCAGAGGACATTAAACAAACTTATATTCTTCCATTTCATTGAATTTTAAAGTTTCTATTTGTATTTTAAAAGGACATTTTGATCTTGGATTTGAAAATGGTCAAAAATAACCTGCTGCTGGGAAAAAAGTAATGTCCCAACAGAGAACCATGAATTAATCATTCTTTCAGTCATTCAATAAATGTTTCGTTACTGATTATAAAGTATTTTTAACTGACAAGCTAAGTACATTTTTAGCACTAATCTTTCAGACAAGAAGCCACTGATACGTAGCTCAAAGCAAGTAATGCAGTAGTGAGGTTAGCCCTGTAAACATTTTGGCTTGTCCTAAAGAAGTAGACAAGAGAAAAATGAATTTAAGACCACAGTTTATATTATAAGGAGTATAATTTGTAATATACCCTTTTGCTTAGATACAAATTCTTATCCAAGTGTCTAGGATCAACCACAAGCTAGAAGTCAAAACACAATTGAACAGCAAGCCTAACATTTTTTAAGAAATCATTACTGCTAATTAATCATCTCTTTGAAGTAGTGCATTGTCTCAAATTTAAGCTTATATATAATTTCCTCCACTTAACAATATAAACAATTTGCACCACTTTAAAATGCCATTTTAAAATGGCTGATGAAGAGTAATAAAATATGTTAATCTCTTAAAATTCGGTTAATATTTTAATTGTAATACTTTTTTGCCAGTTAATTTAACAACACTAGGAAATCTACAAACATTGCTCAAATAGTGTTTGTTCTCAGAAATATACAATAAGCTTTCTCTGTTCTTTGTTACAAGATTCACAATGACAGAGGAGGAATGTGTGAAATAGAGCAATATACCTTGGCAGTTTATTGGGATAGTCAGTATTTTAAAAATACGATATGGAATTCATTCCATAATTTGAAGGTCTGTACTATCAAATACATAAACAAACACACATCTCTATTTATACATATATCATCTGAAAATGAGAATGCTAAATAAATAAATGTTTGAAAGTTATAAATTTTTAATACTGTAATTTCAAAATCTGAAAAATGCCTTTTAAAAGTTTCTAGGTTATTTTTATATTTTTTAAAAGTAGAGCTGTAAAAATAAAAGCCAGTTGTCAATAGCAACGCTCCGCGTTGAGACACAGGAAAGGGAAACCAAGATCTCTTCCAAAGTCCAAATCACACAAAAGACTGGGGACTTCATTGTCTTCCAGTCTGTGACTCTGAGATGCAGAACAAATGTCTTCATCAAGGAATTCAAATGGATTCAATCACTACAGTCTTAAAATCTCTGATTATGTGAAATTGTGTGAGAAAGAAAACAAAAACACATCATTTTAAAAAGACATCCAACTTAGGAAAAGTCGAAGAAAAGATAAGAGAAGATTGGAACCCAGAGGTAAGAAAGTATTGACTTCTAAGCACTGCGCTTCTCTGGCAAATGTGAGCTACCGGTCAGCAGGGTGTAACTTAAGATTCCACCTGTCCTCTACTCTAGATGGGAAAATCAGTAGGGGCAGAGCGAGGAGTGAGAACTCCATATGTGCAGAAGTCCCACACTGAACTCCGGATATTTCTGATATGAGCCTCAGAATTCCCTGGGGGCACTTTACTTAAATCCAGCACGGAACAGTTAGATACCGAACCTGTCCTTGGACAACATCTTCTACATGCTTTTTGTCCTTCGTATTTGCCCCGTGAAATACAACTCTAGAGAAAGCTGAATAGACGCGTCTACGGATTCCCAGCAAGAACCGAGCGTTTGTCCAAGACTTCATATCCCAGTCTACTAGCTGCAAACCACAGGTAGAAAGTTGCAAAACCACCCAGACAGGCCCAAGGCCAAGGTCTGCCACTATAGTTTCTCAAATTCCTGGTAAAATGCAAAAGAAACATGAAATGTGGGATAAGAAGTGAGGGGTTGCCTGGAGGGTTGGCACAAAACTTCAAAACTGGTAAAAGAAAAAATATATATACCTTTCCGTAACATTAAGAAAAGCCAACCCGAAGATACAGCTTTTGTCCGGCAAACCTGGGAGTACACCTTAAGGGTGGGGTGAGGATCACCGCCTTCCCCAAAATAGGGTTATTTCTAAGGAACCCCGTGAACGTCCCTTCTTTCCCAGGGGGCTCGGCTCATACACTTCTTCCCATTTGTCCCTTCCCCTTGTGAAGCCGGTGAACAAATAAGTGATTCCAAGGTGCCCTGGCGCAGTCTATTTCCTTTGGGTTAATAAAATTAAGTCAAATTCCTTGCGATGGCGAAGATGGATCTCCTGGTAGTAGACCCCGACCTCTAGGCGCTTCTCAGTCCCTTCTTACCGAGCGACCAGACGCCTCTAGGACTCTGCCGCACGCAGCCCGCACCCTTCTCTGGCAGCTTCCGTGCGGCCAACTCAGACTCTCAGTTCCAGTTGCCTGCGAGCTTCAGGCACGCAAAAGCCAAAGTGCTCATCTAATTAATTGCAGAACTATAACCCAAGAAATGGGCCATATGATAAATATTCCCATTTCCTGGATGGGGCTCCTATACTGTCAATTTGCTCACAAAGATTAAGGGTAAGAAACCAGCTCTCCCCGAATGTGCCGCTTTCAAACTGTCCAGCGAGAAAGCGAGGGGGATGTGTGGGTCTCCTGGGGCATGGACAACCTCTCCCACCTCAGCATCTAGGCGCTAGGATTGGGGTTGGCTCTCGGCTCGCGGGCTGTAAAGTCTCCGCGGCCCCCACCGCCTCTTCTGAGCGCTAAGGGTGAGCGCGAAGCAATTTCGAGAGCAATGGCCTACAGAGGAACCATCCCAAGAGGGAAAATAAACCTCTGCAAACTGGAGCAAGGGGATGTTTTCCTTCCCTGGCCAGAAGCTCCGGGAACGCAGCCCTCCCGGGTCCGGCTTCTTCCCTGCCTGGCCTCCTAGGCTCTCATTTTCTGCACCGCGGATTCTCCTCCGCCTGAGTGTTCGGGGCCCTTATATGCGATGTTTATTTCTAAAAAGTTGTCCTTCCGGCTGATTTGGAAGTCGCTCCAAGGGAAAGAGTGTTTATGCTTTGTCATTATCTTCAACGCCCTCTTTATTTTGCCTCTGCCCTGTCGTATTTCAAGAAAATGAGCTCTTAGAAAAGAAAGCCTCTCCGTTGAGGCGGTTGGCAACCTCACAGCAATGATGTAAATGGTTTCAGGGCTTTTTTTCTTCCCCTCTGCTATTTTTTTCGAGTGAACTGTGAAGATCTGTGAAAATAATATCAGGGTTTTCCGTCAGAACGAGCTTTGCCCTGCACTCAGGCGTGGCGTGATCTGACCCGACACCTCCAACCATCTGTGCTATCTATCTGCCTTCTGATTTACCAGATCTGTACAAGCCGCATACAAATTGTACTTGATACTAAAGAAAAGACAGTCGGGCCCAGTCCAGTTCGGCGGTGAACATTCTCATCTGATTTCTGTCTAGGGATGGACCTCCCAAAAACAGTTTTCTTGGCGTTTTTGTTATACAGCCCCCTGCCAGTTATTTTCTTCAAACTAAACAAACTCCTACCACAGACCCAGATGAGATCATGGTTTCTTTGACCCGGGCCTCAGAAAATGGTATGATGTGGACTGTTAATTGGGAATCAATAAAAGTTGCCAATTCAAGCTACTAGCCCAAAGTCGGAGCTACCTACCCCTTTCTCTCTGCAGGAGGGGTCAGTGCCCAGCGGCTTAAGACATGCTTTCTAGGCCCCTGCATTGTCGTGGATGCCTTCTGTATTGTATTTTTACTGAATTGCTTTTGTGCTAAAATGCCAAGGTTAGAGTTGTTATCCCCAACTTCAGAGTTATATGTTTTAACACAGAGTAGGGGCAAAATAAGCCTGCAAGGAAAGGAGTTAAGACTATATTTTTAAAAAGACCTCGGAAATAAGCTTTTAAGTTGCTGTCCTGACCTACCAATGACTTCTCAATCTAGATGTGGCTATACTGCACATTTGTTTAAGTCTATTAAACTGGGGGAGGGGGAGAAAGTACATTTCCCCCCCTTTATTTGAGAGGCCTCTACAGCCCACCTCTCTTTTCTCAAAGTTTTTGACTTCGTGGTCTGCATGCGAGTTATCAAATGTGAGCATGCCCTTGTTTGCATTTAAAATTGTTTTAGTGGGTTTTGAAGGGAGTAAGGCTAGAGCTCAAACTGACCTCTTCTACAGATCCCTGGTCCTGTTACTGCTGCTCCAGATTTGCTTCCCACTCAGCTGCTTTGGCAACTGGAAAAAGGAAAAGGGAGGCATGCAGAGATGGTACTTGGGAAAAAAATGAGATCTCTCCCCTCCACCTGCTTCATGCTCCCCCCCGCAAGGTTTGCTGTTTCGTTACAACTAAACTTGCAATTTCTTGGAGCATTTCAATTTGGCCCAGTCCTCTTTGTCCTCTGGAGACCTCTCGAGCGAGACAATGCATTACCCCAAAGTGAATTCCTGAATTCCTGTAGCATCACTGACTCTTCGGTGGGAAAAAGGGAGGGAAAGGTAGAGCGGGGTGGGGGAAGGAGGGGGAGTGAACGCTGCCGCACTCGCCTCTCTTTTTCTCCCAGCCACTCGCAGGTCTTTTCAACCTCCAGGTTCTGCAAAATACTGAGGAAAAGTGCAGGGACTAACAGCGGGCGCTGTCGAGCGCTGGGAGGTGCTGAAATGGTCCCGGCGTGCAGGTCGAAGCTTTGATTGGCAGAGCCAGCCGGTGACTGACAGGGGGTCTCCATGGCGCCCGCGCCGCCAATCCGCCCACCCCAATAGCGGAGCCAGCTTGCCTGCTTGCGTGCCTGAGCCGAGCGGAGCCCGAACCCTGAGCCGCCAAGCCAGCACCTCCTCCAGTCGGGGTCGCTCGCTCCCGGCCGTTGCCTCACCGCCGCCACCGGGTCGCGTGTCCCCGCTGTCCCAATCCGCCTCGTCAAAAAGAGCTTGGCGCACTCAGCCAGGCCCGCGGGCATCAGCTGCGTGTCCCTCTCCGGGCTCAGTGCCCCCGCCGCCACCGGCGCTGCCTCGATGTTCCAGCTGCCCATCTTGAATTTCAGCCCCCAGCAAGTGGCGGGGGTATGCGAGACCCTGGAGGAGAGCGGCGATGTGGAGCGCCTGGGTCGCTTCCTGTGGTCGCTGCCTGTGGCCCCTGCGGCCTGCGAGGCCCTCAACAAGAATGAGTCGGTGCTGCGCGCGCGAGCCATCGTGGCCTTTCACGGTGGCAACTACCGCGAGCTCTACCATATCCTGGAAAACCACAAGTTTACCAAGGAGTCGCATGCCAAGCTGCAGGCGCTGTGGCTTGAAGCACACTACCAGGAGGCTGAGAAGCTGCGCGGAAGGCCCCTGGGGCCGGTGGACAAGTACCGAGTAAGGAAGAAGTTCCCGCTGCCCCGCACCATTTGGGACGGCGAACAGAAGACACACTGCTTCAAGGAGCGCACGCGGCATCTGCTACGCGAGTGGTACCTGCAGGATCCATACCCTAACCCCAGCAAAAAGCGTGAGCTTGCCCAGGCAACTGGACTGACCCCCACGCAGGTGGGCAACTGGTTCAAAAACCGCCGACAAAGGGACCGAGCAGCTGCAGCCAAGAACAGGTCGGTACTTAGAGGCCTCCGCGCTTTGCGCGCACCCGGGACAAGGCCGGTGAGGCACCTCTGGCGCCCTTACCCAGTGCCTGGCGACTCCAATTCAGCAGGAGTTGGGAGCAAGGTCTGTCTTTGGTTATGAGCCTACTGCGTTCTAGGCTCCTGGCCGGGAGTTCCTTTTCCCGGCTCTGCTTCCCCACCCTCTCTGGTTCTCCGCGCCTCAGGGCAGCTGCAGCAGCTGGTCCCAGTCACCAAACCAAGGCTTCGTTGGGACGGAGAAGGGAGGAGAAATAAAAATTAAAATCCCACAAACAATTAGGGACCCCAAGACCCAAAGCTAATTCTTGTCAGCCTGGGTACAGGCTCCTACTATTAAGCGAAGCCTGGCTTATTAGCAATGTGTCGGTTTCAAACTATTATTTTCAAAGCCCAGGTGTATCCCTCCCTAATGCTTTGAAAACAGTTTACAGTGGACTCTTGGGGAAATGGGAAGTCGAGTTTTCCTCTTCCCATGCGCTGCCACCCTTGTCTCAAAACAGCAAACTAATCGGTGGGCTGAGGCTTTTGATTCCCCGGAGTGTGGATCTCGAGTAGCCAAACATTTTGGCCAAGAGCCCGGCCTCATCCCCAGGCACAAAAGTTCCTTACAATCCTTTTTGCCTTTATGTCTGGCCGACCCTATAAAATGCGATCGCGGAAGCACTGACTCAGGCTTGCGCCCCAGGCAGATGCACCATTAGAAAGGGTATCCCATGTCCCCGGGACCTATCTGTCCTTGTCACCCACGCTTCGTTTATTTCTTGAGAGTCCTGTAAATCTCCCAGAGGTGTACAACAAACGGGAAGGACTCTGCGAGCCCAGTATACCAAAGACCTGGGTGCTGGGGCGCTGAGAAAGGGCGCGAATAATGGTGGGCCGCAACAGTAGAGACCCTCGGAGAGGCGGCCGCAGACTCCTGCCCGACCTCTGCCGCCTTGCTGGGAAATCCTCGCCTTAACTGCTCGGGTCTGGGGAAGAGCCTCTGGCCGCCGAGCTAGAGGGACGCAGGTGGTGGTGGGGGCAGGCGACGGGCGGCTGTGTTACGAGCTGTGACCCGTGTTCCCTTTCTTCCCTGTAGACTCCAGCAGCAGGTCCTGTCACAGGGTTCCGGGCGGGCACTACGGGCGGAGGGCGAGGGCACGCCAGAGGTGCTGGGCGTCGCCGCCAGCCCGGCCGCCAGTCTATCCAGCAAGGCGGCCACTTCAGCCATCTCCATCACGTCCAGCGACAGCGAGTGCGACATCTGAGCTGCCCATCCAGGATGCTCAGAAACAGATTCCAGTGTAAAAAAAAAAAAGAAAAAGAAAAAAAAGAAAACAAAATGAAAGAGAGAGAAGGGATGAGAGACCTGCAAATCAAGCGGCAGAGAAGCCAGGTGACCAGGGACCCGCGGGCTCGGGTTGCCGTTTCCCGCCCCCAACTTCCCCGCAGCCGCCTCGCTCCACTGGTGCCCTTCGGTCACGGCCACAGGAGCCCGCGGTGAGGCCTGATCCAGCACCACGTCATCCTCGCTTTGCTTTTTCCTAAGGATTTTGCTGCAAAGACGCCTTCGGAACCCGAACTGCAAGCTGAGCGCCTGCCCAGAGTCTCCCATGGGTATTTCACGTCGAAAGGACGCTGTTATATGTTTATAACTTTTGCTTTAAAGTTTTTTTTTTAACAAAACATATATATGCTGTTTATTTACTTATTTAAGAGACTGCCAATGGTAGGTTTCTCTGTAGCTTGGGGACCTTGCTGTTTCTAAACATGCAGGCTGGTGCTGACAGGTTCTGTGTGGAGAAGCCAAACAATAAAACAACCTAGTGGGCAACCTTCTTAATTAAGGCAACTGCTCTCAGATTCCTTTTATTATTATTATTATTATTATTATTAAGATCATTCCCTTCACCTTCACCATGCATGCAGGGACTCTTGAGTAAATGGTCTCCAGAAGGTCTTATCTATATATCTTTTGCCTTCTTTGCTGCTTCCTGGTATATGTTGTAAATAACCTATGGTAGGTCCATAACCACCTCCCACATCAAATTACATGTATGTGTATGTATGTATGCACCTATACAAACATATATGTATGCATGCATACACATGACATATTTAAGCCTAGAAATTGGCAACATGTGAGCGTCCTCTGTAAGGCAACTCCCTGCATCCCCAGCACAGGTAATTATGGCTTGTTCACTTGACACTCGTCTATATGAAGTATCAACAGCTTTCAGGAACAATTTAGGAAGCCAAACTCTGGGACTTAATAAGTGAGTCCTATTTTCTAAAAATGCAAAACTATCCCGACTCAGGCTCTGCAACAAAAAAGGCTTTCTATCTCCTTTGAGGCCCCCTCCCATACAAAAGCAGCAGGCACCCATGATCATGCTAGAGTGAGCATATATTGCATTTAGGATTGAGCTTTTATTAAAATAAGACAAAAGATGATAGGAGAGGTTGTAAATAATTAGACTAACATCTTCTTGCTGCAGAATTGGGTTTTAACCAAATGAATGGTTTTTAACAAGAGAGATACTGAGATGGGGGAAAGGATGTAATAATGTCACATACTGAGGGTAAAACAAGGCTGTAGAAATAACTGGCATTTTAAAAACCTAATCTCCAAATTAAGCATGGAACAAGTCATCAAGGGCTTCATTGTCCTGGTAATGGCCTCAATTAAAATATAAAATATTTTGGGCATTTAATTTTTCCTCGTGCACATGCATGCGTGCACCTACATATGAACAAATGCATGCATATCTAACACAAAAACATCTACCATCTTTGCACTAAGAAAATAAATGCTAGCCAGAGTCTCTAATTTTGTTTCTAGTGAAACAGATTGCATATTATAAAATTTGACATTGATCTTTAAATCACTTGAGCTGACTTCTTTACTGTCCCCATCCCCCAATTAGAATCTTTTCCATTTGCCTCTGTGTCCTTAGAAGATGTTCTTTGGATCAGAAGTCTGCTAACTTCTTTAAGCAGAAGTGCCAAACAAACATAAGTGAAGTCATGGAAGACAAAAAGCAGCCAAATGGCAAGATAGACAATGGAAGCCCAGGACATGAGTAAGGGTTGATTTTTGGTTTCTAACTCGCTTAAGTAGATTTAGTTCATTTGGGCTTTATAAATGTTGTCATTGTGTATGGTAGCCTTATCCAGAAAATTATTGAAAATCAAAACTCTCTTGCACAAGAGCTTTAGATGGAAGGAGTGGGTAAGTCTTCGTGATAAAACTGGTGTTCTTTCCAAAAGCAAGCAAAAGCTCTGCTGTGGGTCCTGAAAGGCTCTGATTGTAGAGCTTCCTCAATACTTAATTTTGTTTCCTACAGCACCAGGTAGTTCTTAGAATGCCAACAAGGGGCTGGGCAGGAGTAGAGTGAGGCCAGGAAGCCACTCACTGTCAAGGTTATGCAAGTGCAGCAAGTGCAAGGCACCTGAGATTGAGTGCCTCCTTAAATTTTGCACTCTCACCTCCCTTGCCTCACCCTAGTCCTTAATCTGCCAAGGAGTAAGCAGCAACTGACATCCAGTCTTGCTCCCCATCTTCACCCCACCCTAGCTATGGAGCTGTCCAGAACCCGAGTTTGGAGAAGTTTGCTGGTAAATTTTCTCTAACTTTATGCTTCCAGGTCCGAGAGGGATGGGAAGGAACTAATTAGTGAAATGATGTAAAAGAATCTGAAGTTCTAAAAATCCCACTCCACCCACCAGTTCAAATGATAGCTAAAAGCAGAAGAAAATTTCATTCTGCAGTGTCAAGAAAACAGGAAGCTAAGGAACTAAGCTTTCTCTTTACAAAATAATTTTTAAATGACAGTTTATTGCTTGGAGAAAAAGAGAAGACAAAACAATGATGGAAGATTTTTTCTTCCTGCTTTGGCAAAAGCCTTTGAACTACATCTACCATTTACTTAAATTAACAAGCTGCCTACATTTTAAAATAGTTACTCTGTTTCAACGATATGGAGATTTATTTATCTAATTTCACTTTAGAATCTTAAGGGGGTGAAACATTATTGTAACATTTTTAAAATGTTTATCTGTAACCTGATGGCACCTAATTGCCTCTGTGAATAACCAATTCTTTGGTGACCAAATGTTGAAAATTAGTCCAGATCTTCACAGAGATTTATTTTATTTTAATCGCTCCAATCTTCCCAAGGGCATTTAAAGGGTTTCTTTTTAAGTCTTTTTTCCATATCAGCTTCATCCTGGTCTTCAGGGTTTGGGAGGGGCGGGGAAGGGAATACAGGTAGCAGCAAAGGCTGAAGGTTTCTGAATTCGGCAAAATCTCTATATGAAGGGTTTCTTTCCTTTATTTTCTTGCAATTCTTCTGTCACAATTTCCCAAAAAGCAGTTGCAGAGTGGAAAGGAGCATTTTTATATTAAATATTTCAACGGACCTGATCAATGGGAAGATTTTACCCCAAGCCTCAGGTCAGGCTCTTTTCCAGCTTATAAACATTTCAACCACACTCCAGATTCACCAAAAAAGCGACGGCCCCTGCTCCCCAAATGCCACAGTCTTCTTGCCTCCACTTTAATGACCCACTCGGCTTCCACCCGTCGCCCCCCCTTTCCCTTTGCCAGTTTGTTTATAAAAAATCTGGGAGGGAGGGGAGGAGAGGATGGGGGTGGGGAGGGCTTGCTCTTTGTTTACATTAAACAAATGACAGGCAAAGAGCTCAAGCAAAGTCTTCCTTGACCTGGTTCCCTCTCCCTAATTTTGACAAAAAGGAAAAAAATATTGTATCCCAAGAGAATGTGAATGGGGCGGGAGGGGAGGAAAAGCAGCTTTTCGATCTATTCAGTGGGGACGCGGGAGCGCGGACGATTTCCGCTCCTTTTGTGAGGCGGGGCCCGGGGGCGGCGGTGAATGGGGGGTCTGTGGAGCGGCCCGCGGGGCTGTCAGGCGGCTCTGCGTAATCAGGGCTAATGACGGCGGCCTGGCGCTCGGCGGGACAATGCGCGGGGCCGCGGGGTTTTGTCGGCCTGAATGGCTAATAGGTTTGCCTGTGAGCTGTGAGGGGGCGGTGTCGGGGAGGAGGCGGCGGCGAGGGGAGAAGGGGTCATTGTCCGCGCGCTGGCCAGGGCGCCGAGGCGGGTCCCTGCTTGCGCGGCGCGGCCACCCCCGGGCCTGGCGCCGCCAACGCGAAGGCAGCGGCGGGGAGGCCCCCTGGAGGCCTGCTGGGTAATGGCGGCTGGAGCGGCGGGCGCGTGGGTCCCCTCGGGGAGGCGCCCCGAGCCACTGTCTGCTCCCAAAGAGAAGTCCAGACTGCAGGAATGTGAGTCCTTCTTCAGGGACCCAGATCGCGACTCAAGTTCTGGGTCCCCGAGGAAGTAGAGGCCTCCCCCTTTGCGCACCCACCTTTTCCATCCAGCGCCCCGCGAACTAGCGGACGTGTAGGCCTCGAGCCCCTCCTACTGTTGGACTGCCTGACTCAGCAGCTTGAGGAGAGAAACCTCTCAAAACCCGGGGACCTAGACGGGGTTCAATTCAAACCTAGGTGGGAGAATTGGGCCCACAAGCGCGCGCCTCCGCGGCGCGCACTCGCCCGCCTTCGGGCGCCTGAGGTCGCGGTGGTTCCAGAGCCTCGAGCCCTGGGATGCGGCGCGCGCCGAGGTCTGGGCCTGCGCGGGAGGCTGCGGCGCGCGCCGGGCCTGGGCCTACGCGTGTCTGATTTGGGCCGGTCCGCGCAACGGCAGTTGTCGCAACCGGCCCTAGGCGGCGCCGAGCGAGTGGCGGAGAGGGGCGGCAAGAGGGGAGAGGTACGCGACCCAGTGAGCGGGAGCTAAAGGGGGCTTTCAGCGCCCGGCAGTGCTGCTGGGGTCATCTGTCTAGGCGAGGAGAAGGAGCGCGGCGCCTGGAGGACCGCGTGTTCGCGACAGCACATTTAAGCCCTGGCAGGCTACCTGGGCCCCCTTCTTTCGGAAACCTTGTGGAGTTTCCGCGCAAGGTGTACGATGGGAAACCTTATTTCCCATTGTCAGCTCTTAAAAATCTCCTCCTGCTAGATCCTTCCTTGCAGCTATCTTTGCTAGGATTTATATTCCCAAACTTCTTTAGACGGGCCCCACCGTGAGGGAACAAAGTGGGTTTTTTTCCAGTTTTCACCTCCTTGTCTGGAGACAAAGGGTTGTGAGGGCGATCCCAGAGCTGAACAAGCAGTTGCTGTTTCCGCTTGCCCTGTGGTTTGCTCCACCTGGAACGCTGCCCCCTACCCAACTGCTACCCTGTCAATCCACAAACCTATCCCACTTCCACTAAGTTTTCCTTGAGCCAGTGAGTTCCACACAGATAATGTGCCACGACTTTTTAATGCTCCCACCGCACCTTATCTAAACGTCTGTTTTAGCGCCTGTAACACTTTTGCTTATTTATTTGTCCGTTTGACTTTCCCCTTCAGCCCCCTCTAGAATGTAAGCTCTTTATTTAAGGGCAAGGACCGACTCTTATCCATCTTTGTATTCCCAGCGCCTATCCTAAGTAGTAGGTGCTCAATAAATATTTTAAAGCTGAATGAATTCATGCATCTTCCTTGAAATCTGTCTGCTCTTACATTAGTGGGGGACTTCTGCTAGCTCGGAAATCATTTCAACAGAAAAGATGACTTATATTGGCTGGACCCAAAATTCACTGCAATCCTCCCAGCTCAGTAAGTTACTGGCTGTTACCTACTTGTTGTGTTCTCTGGGAGGATTCCATAGAGTGGCCTCTCCCTCTAGGCATGGTTTTTTAGAATCCTGTGGCTTTGGGCTCATACCATGAAAATTATCTTCTCACACAATACATTTTCCCAAAAAGGTAAGAGTGATCCCCTTAGATTTTGAAA